TGAAGAGGCGGGGGGCAGGAGCGGGGAGACGTGGGGCGAGGTCTCGGCGGCGTGGTGGGGCGTGGGGCAGCCCGGCTGATGCCCGTTTCCTTCCCGTGATAGGTGGCGGCGGCACCGGGCCTGGCGGCTCTGACGGCCTCCCCAAGTATGCTGTACCTGGTCGGTCTGGGCTTGGGAGATGCCAAGGACATCACAGTGAAGGGGCTGGAGGCGGTGAGGCGGTGCCGCAGGGTGTACCTGGAGGCCTACACGTCCGTCCTCACGGTGGGCAAGGAAGCGCTGGTAGGTCTGGCCGCTGCTGTCGCCCAGAGGCCCGACGCCTCTCGTACCAGGGAGTGAGGGGGTGCTGGGTTGGTCGGTCAGTAAGGCCAACAGGAGAAACTGAAGGTGCACGTTCTCGGAAAAAGTGCATACGTGACCTTCACGTACTGTATTTTATAGGAGAAATCGTTTCGCTACCTTGTCAGAAGACTGGAATGAAAATAAAATTTTTCTTCCTACAAGTATGGACACTAGTTTTCATCTCACATTCTAACCATATATGGAGATCCTGAAATACTGGAGAACTGGGTTAGAAAAACGTCTGATCTGTTTAAAAACAAACAAACAAAAAAAATCGAAAGGCGTAACAGAAAAGTACATGGTTTGGTGCTTTGAACCTCTGTATCAGCCTCAGCTATTATGGTGTGCCTGCTGGGAATAATAATTGGCCTGTCTCACATTTCCATGTTTCCTTGTGGGCCAAGCTGTCTCACCGTGTTGAGACTTCTAGAACGTATACAGTTCAGTTAGAGATGAGTTGTTGAATAACATAGGGATAAGTTTTTTGTTAGTAAACAAACCTTATGGAGGAAGACAGTAGTAAAAACATACAGATTATAACTCTGATGGCTTCACTGGTCATAGAAAGGTAAAGTTCAATGTTGAAGCAATACCAGAAAAAGAGCTTACCTACCCACAGAACAGGGATCTTGCCTCTGAATAAGTTGTGTAGTACTATCCAGAGGTGCTCTCTGGGTCTTGGATGCTGTATAGCCATAATGTACTTGTATGCATACCTGTATGTACATACAGCATGTGAGACTTTTAGCTTGTAGTCAGCATTATGTGGTTTCCAGATACAAGCTAGGCTAGAATATTTGGGGCCATTTCTGGTATATCTGGTGTGTTTTGAAATTAAGATATACTCCATTGTCGTGGTTTAAGCCCAGACAGCAGCTAGGCACCACACAGCCGCTCGCTTACTCCCCC